TCTGGTAAAAAACTAGTACAGCTTTTCTCAGTATACCTATTTATGTGAGTAACTCATAATTAATCTATGGTAGTTTACCATCAATTTAGTTAATTGATGGCAAACTGGTTATCTAGGTAAGTATTTATAATGAACATTGTTAATACGTCCCCATATGGATTATGGATGGAATATTATGAATAGGTACTATTACAAAGAGTTAATAGTCCTAAGCAATAAGGATAATCTCAAAATAATTATTTACAAAACACTCGCGAATTTGCACGATTAAAAAACTTATTTTGGAAAGTCCGGTTAAACCATTATGCACATAAACTAGCTAATAAGGAAATAATACCTATATTTTATTTTATTGTAGGTATTTATCTCTTGATGTTTTTAACGTACATATTAAACACGATTTCTTGTGCACAACATAATTGTATATAGGTATTTTATTTGTCTATATTTTATTACTTAACACAAGTAATAAAATAAGTAGTGTAAGTATCTTAAGTTGTACATATTTATTTATTTATTCATTTAAGTAAATTATAATTCATAATTCTGTTATTTGTAAATAATTCATACACAAGTTTATTTACAAATAGATTAAATAAACTGGAAATGAAGTAACTTGGTAGCTACCTATTTGTTAAATTGAAACAATAAAAATAAATCCCATGAAACAAAACAAGGCTTATTTTCAGTTGTGACACTTAGTTACCCGTTTACAAGAAAATTCGAATAGAATTCAAATCAAATTAATTTGCAGAACACATTCATTCAAAGAAACAATTGAATTCATCAGATTTGTTATAAGTGCGTCATCATCATCATCATCAGCCTGTATTCGTCCACTGCTGAACATAGGCCTCTCCAATGGCACGCCAGTGAGCTCGGTCTTCAGCTCTTCTCATCCAACCACTGCCAGCCTTCCGGATATCGTCACACCACCCAGCTGGAAGGCGCCCTACACTGCGTTAGCCTAGACGCGGTCTCCATTCTAGAACACGTTTGCCCCAACGGTTATCGGTTCTTCGACAAATGTGTTGTTCGACAACCGGCCCACTTCCACTTCAGCTTACTGATCCTTTGGGCTATGTCGATAACTTTGGTTCTCTGTCGCATAACTTCGTTTCGGTTTCGATCTCAAAGAGATCAAAGAGATTCCGAGCATAGCCCTCTCCATAGCTCGCTGCGCGACCTTAAATTGGTGAACCAGGCGCACTGTCAGTGTCCAGGTCACGGCTCCGTATGTAATTACTGGAAGGACGCACTCGTTGAAGACTTTTATCTTCAAGCTTTGCGGTACCTGTGACGAGAAGACTTGATTAAGTTTTCTATATGCTGCCCCTATCTACCTACCTACGCACCTATGAACTATATAAGTGCGTACGTATTTATAATTTAATTGGTCAAAATAAATAAAATAGTGCATTACCAGACGCAGCCATAATGTCTAGTGAAATGTAGATACATTCGTGTAAGTAAAACTAAAAGTCTTTGATGATAATCCAGACTTGGACGGACGCCAAAGGAACGGGTTTCTAAATTAGACGAAAATGCACTGTATCTATTTACATTAATAAAATTATAGCCTTGCTATACCCAGTCGTTGTTACTATGCACTGCCCGTCTCTCTAATGTCGAGTGGTTATAAAAAATTAATAGCCGAAGAAATGGGAATTAGGTAGCCACATAAGCCACATACGTTTTATGTCCCACACTTACCCAGATCTAAATAGGTCATAAAAGATACTCTGATCTTTGGTCTAGGCCTGTAAAATAAAGATCAGACCTATAAAGTATAATGTCATATAAAAACTTTAAACAGTAGGTACGTATCTAATTACCTACAATGTAATATAACCTGGAGGATATAAAGATATTTTGGTTAAGAGGTCCTCTTAAGATACATACCGACTTCGAGACCAGACCCCTCTGTTTTTATTAAACTTTGTCCCATCCTAGTATCTTCTTTTGTTAGGTACGTAGATTGGTAAAAATATTATTTTAAATTTAATCATTATATTAATGTGGATAGATGTTACTTTTAGGAATCTATCTGAAATAAAAAAATGCCTAACATCCAGTTTCCAAACCAGTACACCACTCGTGCGTCTATGTTCTTATAATCTAGAGATGGGGCCCAATAGGGCTGATGCCGATACGGAGCCGCGCGGAGGACTTAACGGATTGCCGGGGCTCCGGCTCGAAGTGCAGGAGTAGGAACGGGGTGTTTTTTATAGACTATAGATCCTACACATATTGGTAGGTATATATTTTTTATGATTGGTATATAGACATAAAAATCCACAAAAACTGTGTGTTAATACTAAGAATCAAAGTTTAAAAAAGGAATACTTAATAAAACTTATTTGATTACCTATCACATTTACCGAGTCACTGAAGTTTTAAGGAAAAACATCAATAAATTAAGACGGATATTCTTTTATAAATTTTTTTTGGAAAATACCCACACGTCTTTTTTTACGGGATAGAGGGCAAACGAGCAGACGCATACCTTCGAATAGTAATAATTAATGACAATGAATGATCAAACCGCCCATGGCCACCTGAGAAGTTACAGGTCCGTTACTGTTTTGGGGGGAAAGGGTTTTGACAAGGGTTGGCCCTTCGGTGGCAGTTCCTTTATGAGAAAATTGATTTCTTCTATAAACACTATAAACAATACGCGATTCTATCCACTCCACCGAAGACCGTCGGAACCTATATCTTACAGTGACATAATACCTTAACGTACTTATGGAAATTGTTTTTTAACCTCAAATCATACGAAGGAACTTATAAGAAAACGTTCATATATCAATTACTTTTCGCCAGCCATGTTAATGAGTTTCATGAAATTCTGATGAACCAGAAAACTGCTTTATCCTGGATTTGAATCCTTTGTTCGGTAGTGGTGCTTGTGACCGTTTCGAACAAAAATGCCATCAACTTACTTAAAGTTCTATGTCCCCTAGATGGGGCAGACGAGGTACAGAAAGACTATCAAGTAATTATTTAAATAGTCTGAATCTGAAAATATCTACCTACAACATACGATTTTTACATCCACGTTCGCCAGCGGTAAAATTATCTTAGCAACATGTATCACCAACGAGTTCACGCTCATTTACGACGCGTAGGCACTCGACCACATTGTCGCCGCAAAATTAACTGGAAATGCAATTAAAAATGTTGGCGTTCCGTCAAAGTGAACCAAGTACTACATCATTCGGCCACCGATACTACACACGGTCTATTTTTTATTAATTCAGTGTCGACCGAGGTTTTGAGATCAGTCGAAAATAAACCAAGTTCTCTAGAGTAGCGGACCTATGCTCCAGTAGCCGAGATCGGTGAAGCGGAAGATATCGTGATTTTATTACATCGTTAATACTCGTAAACGATAATACTCTAGTGTAAATAAAATATTTGGTGTAGGTTAGTACGTCTGTGGTATCTACGCATTCTACAATGATCCATTACTCAGCTAGCTCAGGCTTGGTTTAATTTTGCATCTAATTAATTTCTTAGACATAAAGAAACCGAAATTAGAAAGCCAATAGGATAACAAATTATAGATAGTAGATTAATTTCATGGTAATTACAAATTTACTATCAATAATCCAATTATGGATAATAGTATCAATAGAATAACAGATAAAGAGAGAAACTTAATGAACTAACCAATCAAAAATTAAATTAAATCTCGTAATATGCATCTAGATAGAATAAAACATTGTGTTGTTACATACCTACCGTTCATTGTAAGAAGCTAACAACTTTTATGTATCCTATGCAGATATTTCATCAGAAAACGAGGTCTTCAAACCAATAAAACTTTTATGATCCCCTCTAATCCCACGGTAAATTTTGATTTAGTTAAAAATATTTGTTTGTTTTATATGACCAGATGTATTCATAACATTCGCATTATATTACTTAAACTCTTGCAGAGCCCGTCTTACTCATAGATATCGAAAATAGACTAATGGATGAATGGTACCACCTATAACTAGACTGCCAGACTCGTCTTATTATTTAGTTTTACATTTTTAACTCGAGTGTCTTTGATTTGGTAATAAATTATTAACCTAAAATAAAAATCTGCCTATTAAAACTTTACAATTAAGACCTCAATAGTTCAAGTTCGTCTTATCCAGGACAATTTACTAGGTACCTAGACTACCTACTTAAATATGAATGACCTAGGAAGGACCGACCTAATAATATTTTAACATTATTCACAAAACTCGGTCGGATTCGTTCTAACGAGAAGAATGGTGTAAAATGTACCCAGTGCGTACCCAGTTTTCTACATTTTTTGTGTCACACTCTGATGGGATGAGCCTTTTATCCTATAACGACCGTATTACCTGTGCTATTACTTATAGAGACTTTTATACAAATAAACAGCCCGATGCAGCCTGGTCCAGGAATCAAACCTGACTGAAGTTCTTTGCTCGGCAGTCGTATCTGCGACTACTCGAACATTACAAGACAATCATTATTTAAAGAAAAATAAAACTTTTGTATTAGGACAAATCATTAAACTTATCCTGCCCATATTTAAAATTATAAAATAAAATCAATAACAAGCAAAAATTTCAAGTTCAAAAAATGCTAGGCTAATTCTCTACATCAGAGTGGTAATTTCAGATTTGGTGATAAATTTCCTAGTAACCAAATTGGCAAACGTCAAAATATTGAGAAAAGTTTAAAATATTGTCTATTGCTGTTGTTTTCTTTCCCTATGATTGGTTATATTTTCTACCTTGTAATAATGCGAGCAGCTGATTGGGCTTGTCATTCTACTTAGAACTTTCCACCAATTATCAATCAGTTTGTAAACGGAAACAAACCATGTGCTAACATGGCGATTTTTCATCGTTCTTCGCATGTCGTTTGATAATTATTGCGTGGCTGTTATGGGAATTTGGTTTAATCGTGCAATATTTTATCTTTTTGACACATTTTCTTTGTTTTGTTCAATATAATTATATCGGGGAAAAATGAGTGTTGACGCTTATGGACCGAGCTCACAAACACTCACGTTTTTGGATACTGAGGAAGCGGATCTTATTGGGGCTGATACTCAGGGCTCTGAATTCGAATTCACCGACTTCACCCTTCCATCTCAGAGCCAAACACAGGCCTCCCAACATGATCATGGCTTGTCATCTTCAAATCAGGTTAGTGAAAACATAGTTCAATATTTTTGTTTTTCCTCTAACCTTATTTTGATGAATACGTAACTGCGTAAACCGTTTTATTAGATATTTTAATTGCTATAATTATTCTTACAGGTGAACGGTTTGGGTCGTTCAGATTTGTCATCGAAAGTGTCCAATGTGACTAATGCTATAGCAGAGTTGCAATTTGAGGAAGAAGATGAGGCCTTGTACAGCAAGGAGTTGCCTGACCACGCGTGCAAGTACTGTGGCATACATGACCCGGCTACTGTTGTCATGTGTAATATTTGCAACAAGTGGTGAGTCAGTCTAACACTATCTAGAACTTTAATGTCATTTCAAACAAAACAATAGTTTTCTGTAAAGTATAAGCTTACTAATAATATGCAATAAGGTTTAAGGTCACAGAGTATGAATATACTGCAATGCTGTACTTGTAAACTCCACTGCGGAAACTTTAGTTTTACCCACAAAATAAGGTCAACATCAAGAAATTATATACATGTCCATATTCATAACATTAAAACTGACACATACTTTAACCTTCCAATCCTTTGATATTCAAGAATGCAAATGTATTTTTCAGTATTAATTTCCACAACAATGTCCGTAATTAGCATTAGTTGAATATTTTAAAACCAAAAATGTCTGATTTGAACATAATATTACCTTAAGCAAGTTAGCTTTGCTTAATTAAAAATAATGTACTTTATAATTATTATAATATTCAAATGACCTTGGCTTCTGTCGTGCAATAAATGTGTGCACGAGAAATAAGTTTTGAACACTAAGTAAATAACCTACAACTTGTAATGACCATATCTAGCAATGATAAATGTATGAGTCCACTGGCTCCACTTTAGTGACTGGTGAAGATTTGAGTTAGCTTTGAAATAACTTCCTAATTATTTATTTGTCTAGCTCAATGCAAATTCTAATTTTACTATTCTCTGTTCCTTATTTGATTCTTATTGAAATATGTATTAACTCGTCGAGTACCGGTTTTATAGACAATTAAAGAACAATAGGTCGCGGTCACCGGTGACCGCTTGGTGTTTGACAGATTAATCTGCCTCACATAATGGTGTTATTTGTCAACTATGGCTTTATTATTTATGTATTTAAAAAGAACAGTAATATTGTCTCATCCTCTGACATTACGTTTGTCCATGGGAAGTGCCATTTGCTTACTTGTCAGGTGATCTATTTGCTCCTCTCTGTGGCATATCCCATAAAAGTTCTTTGAAATAAAATATTATCTCCAATATTCGATACTTTGTCTTTAAACAGTTAACATAAACTAAATTGTTACATTCTAGGTTCTGCAATGGTCGAGGTAACACCTCTGGCTCACACATCATCAACCACTTGGTCCGTGCCAAGCACAAGGAAGCTGCCTTGCATAGAGATGGCCCACTCGGGGAGACTTTGCTGGAATGCTACTCATGCGGTGCCAGGAATGTATTCGTTCTTGGCTTTATACCAGCTAAGGCGGATTCCGTTGTTGTATTGCTGTGCCGGTAAGAATCCATTTATAAATATACATGAAATAATATTGTGATATAACATCTTGCATAATGTGATGTAATTATTGTGTTATGGTAACATTCAAGCTGTGCCACATCAATTTAATTTAATAACAATTTTGTAAACTGAGATTATATATAACCATTATTGTCCTCAACGAATCTGTGTCATTAAATGGCATATATTAAATTAGTCGCATATATTTTCCCTCTAGAACTGATATTTATTATTTACTTATTGTATTTTTCAGACAACCATGTGCAGCTCAAAGCTCCTTGAAGGACATGAACTGGGACCAAGAGCAATGGAAACCATTGATCTGTAAGTATTTTTTTATTGGCTATTTCTAAAAGAACAAATCTTTATAGCTAAACTATGTCATAACTTCATTAAATATTCAAATCAGAGTATTACCATCTTGGTTATGTGAGGAATGTTTTTAATTTACAGCTGACCGAGCCTTTCTCTCTTGGCTGGTGAAAGTCCCTTCTGAGGCAGAGCAGATGAGAGCTCGCCAGGTAAGATGTGTTACGTTTTTTAAACAAGTTGCCCAATGCTAGGATTTTCTCCTGTGTCCGTGGATGTGTTTATAAACATACACATTACACCCAGACTCGGAACCACCAATACTATATATAGACTAATTATCTACTAAAGACAAAATATTTTGGTGGGCATTATTTTAGCTACACATTCTCAAAAACTGAACCAACTTTTTCTGGAGGTGAGGATAACATATGAGGTTGAGTTCCAAAGTTACCCAATGGGTGTCAGTTAGCTTGACCACCTAATTTGATTAAGCAGTCAATTGCTATATATCCTTTATGTCCTAAGCCTATCCTTGATTAGATGTTCTAATATGGAGCAAATTTTCTCTTGTATTTAGGCAAATTATGTTATGTATGTCTATAAGCCTTCCTAAATGAAGTAAATAATGTTCTCTGCAATGGGTGTCTTGTTAATAATGATAAATGAAACTTACAAGTTATGTAATTTCCAGGTGACTCCGCAGCAAATAGGACGCCTCGAAGAGCTGTGGCGTGACAATGTGGATGCTACCTTCCAAGATTTGGAGAAGCCTGGTGTAGATGAGGAGCCTCATCAAGTACTTTTGAGGTCAGTTGTATAGTAATTGTAATAATTAAATTTAAATTTTAAAACATACACATTTTTTGTAGACCTATTGATGACCATTAATATTGCTTCTTGAATGTGACTTATATTTCTTTTTTTTCGTGTTTCCATAGTACTGTTATAAAAGTCAAATCCCCCAAAAATTTCTTTACAGGAAAACTTAAAACATACATGAAAACAATCTTCATTTAACTAAAACATAACACAATAACCAATTTGGACTCTAATTCAATAGGTTTGTAAGTGTAACCAACCTTTTTTGTATTTAGCTAATATTCAATAATTTACTTAAAAAACTAATTTCCTTTTTCAGATATGAAGATGGGTATCAATACCAGAACATCTTTGGTCCGCTGGTGAAGCTAGAAGCTGATTATGATAAGAGACTAAAGGAGTCTCAGACTCAGGAAGGCATTGAGGTGCGCTGGGATGTGGGACTTAATAAGAAAACAATTGCTTACTTCACCCTGGCTAAGACAGATAGTGATATGAAGTTGATGCATGGAGATGAGCTTAGATTAAGGTAACTAGACTGTTGTTATATCACCCTTTTAAAACTAGTACTAAATCTGTCTCTTCATTTCAAACTTAATGCAGCTGGCTTTACTGACAAGCTGACCAGTGAGATTCTATTTGGATATTGCAAAAGTGTCCATCAATGCGTTACCTGAAATAAAACACTGTAGACTAATTTTGAAAAACTTTTGCATAATTTTTCTATCAAGAGTAATGAGTTGAAATAAAAAAAACCTTAATCATAAGACATCCATTAGACAACCTGGTTAATTGAAAAAAAATTTTTTGTTGCTAATGAAATCATATCCATTTCAGATATGTAGGTGAGCTACATAAAGCGTGGTCAGGTGTTGGCCACGTGATCAAGGTGCCGGACAACTATGGCGATGACGTCGGCCTTGAACTGAAGAGCGGCGCCGGCGCACCGCTCGATTGCACTTCCAACTTTGTTGTAGACTTCATCTGGAAAAGTACTTCTTTTGACAGGTCAGTGAATAGAGCTAATATTTTATAAATATTTTGTGATTATCTCTATAATATCTATAATAAAACTATCGTTTTATTTATATAATTTTTATCTAATGTAATCTAATAATCTGGTTTTAGGATGCAACTCGCTTTGCGTAAGTTCGCTGTGGATGACTCCTCTGTGTCTGGCTACATATATCGTCGCCTGCTAGGACACGAAGTGGAGGAGGTTTTGTTCCGCGTTCACTTGCCGAAGCACTTCAGTGCTCCCAACTTGCCTGACCTTAATCGTTCTCAGGTAATTATACTTTCCATAGTTGAAACTAGTTAGTACAAAATCATGCATGCTGCAATTTTCTAACCTTACCTTGTTTTACAGGTCTATGCAGTTAAGCATGCGCTACAGCGTCCACTATCCCTAATTCAAGGCCCGCCAGGTACGGGAAAAACCGTGACGTCTGCCACGATTGTATACCAACTGGTGAGACAGAACAGTGGCCCGGTACTCGTCTGCGCTCCGTCCAACACCGCTGTCGACCAGCTCACTGAGAAGATCCACAGAACTGGCCTCAAAGTCGTCAGACTTTGCGCCAAGTCTCGAGAAGCTATGGAGTCGTCGGTGTCATTTTTGGCGCTCCACGAGCAAGCTAGGGCTTTAGGCTCCGCTGACAGCGAGCTCAGGAAGTTGACTAGATTGAAGGAAGAAGCTGGAGAGCTGTCTGCAGCCGACGAGAGGAGATACCGCGCACTGCGCCGCGCTGCTGAGCGACGTCTGCTGGATGCCGCCGACGTCGTCTGCACCACGTGTGTGGGTGCAGGCGACCCGAGAGTCGCACGCATGCGCTTCCAGTCCATACTCATAGACGAGGGCATGCAGTCCACCGAGCCCGAGTGTATGGTGCCCGTAGTACTGGGCGCCCGACAACTGATCCTCGTGGGAGACCACTGCCAGCTGGGTCCTGTGGTCATGTGCAAGAAAGCAGCCAAAGCTGGCCTCAGCCAAAGTCTTTTTGAACGTTTAGTCGTCCTGGGTATCCGTCCATTCCGTCTTGAAGTCCAATATCGGATGCATCCTGAACTGTCACGTTTCCCTTCTGATTTCTTCTATGAAGGTTCTCTTCAAAATGGAGTTAGTGCTGAAGAACGTCGTTTGCATAAAATTGACTTCCCTTGGCCGAGACCCGATCGCCCAATGTTCTTCTACGTAACACAAGGACAAGAAGAAATCGCTGGTTCTGGAACATCCTACTTGAACAGAACTGAAGCTGCTAATGTGGAAAAACTCACTACACGGTTTTTGAAAGCTGGAGTGCGGCCCGAACAGATTGGTATCATTACTCCGTACGAGGGTCAACGATCATACCTCGTTCAACACATGCAGTATCAAGGAAGCTTGCATGCCAAACTTTACCAAGAGATTGAAGTAGCTAGTGTAGACGCTTTCCAAGGGCGAGAAAAAGATATAATTATCATGTCTTGCGTCCGTTCCAACGAGCACCAAGGGATTGGTTTCTTGAGTGATCCACGTCGTCTAAACGTAGCTCTAACACGCGCTAAGTACGGACTCATAGTAGTCGGCAACCCGAAAGTGTTGAGTAAACAGCCACTGTGGAATCATCTGTTAGCTTTCTACAAGGAACGTCGTGTCCTAACCGAGGGCCCGCTCTCGAACCTGAAAGAGTCCGCCATTCAATTCGCGAAGCCAAAGAAGTTGGTGAACGCGCAAAACCCGGGCTCGCACTTCATGTCAACGTCTATGTTCGATGCGCGCGAGGCGTTGGTGCCAGGCTCCGTGTACGACCGAGCGCGCGCGCTGCGTGACCCACTGGCATACGTGGGCCCAGAGCGCGCCGCGCTGCTGCACGCGCCGGTGCCGGCCGCCGCCTTCTCCGCGCACCGCGGCCTGCGCGCGCCGCCCGCGCCCGCGCCGCGGCCCGCGCGCCGCCGCCCGCCACGCCTGAGCCAGGAGCCGCTGTCGCAGCAGCCGCCGCTGTCGCTGTCGCAGGGCGCCTCGCAGCCGGACTTCAGCCAGGAGTCGGCGGCGCCCGACTGTCCGTCGCAGCCCGACGGGCTGTTGTCGCAGGACTCCACGTACCAGGGCGGGTTCCGAGCGCGCTGCAGCCAGTACTGAGAGCGCCGGGCGGACCGCCGCGGGCCGCGCCGCAACAGCCGACCTCACTCCTCCGGGGTGGAGATCCACGGTACTGACGACAGACGCCGATGCGCACCGACACCTGACCGACGACAATCTCAACTCGGGTGTAGAGACAGACAGAGGCTTCCCCGTAGTGCGTTGCGACCGCGGGGTTGAATCGGTTGCGCCGGCGGCGGAATCCGACCGCGACTTTGTTAGTCTTCGCCCATCGACCGTATTGAAGAGTGAAAACTCAAACTTAGAAATTGTGTCACGCGCGGAGCATACTTGGACAACAAGTATCGTTGTCAAAAGTAAAATGTAACCGTTCCATTACAGGGATACAAATTTTATAGGATGTTGAAACTATAACACCGATATTACGGCAAGGGTTTAATCAAAATAAAGCCGGTTCTTTGACCGAATTGGTAGTAACGTAAATTAATAACCTAATTTCATTAGACACGTATGCACCAAAAATCGACATTACTATAAACTTGTTGCTATCCTATAATTATTACACGCGTTACCACGGAACAAATAGAAACGAGTAGACAAAGATGTCTCGAAGATAAATCACAGTGGCTAGAATATAATTCTGATAGCTTTAACAATGTAATTTTACACTAAAGAAAATGGGATAGCTAATTATGTCAAACATATGTAAAAGCAATGTCCTATGAAAATATTAGAATTCTACATTGGAAAATTACGCTACTTATTTGGTGTTAAAATCGATAAGTCACATTCATTAGTATATGTAATAATTCTTTAAAGATTTTAATTTTTATTTGAGCATAAAAAGGCTTGTTTTCTCGTTTCTACGTGTATTAGCGAATCGCGACGTACAAAAATTTCTGTACACGAAGTAATTACCATCTCAGTTCGCATGGTAGAATTTTAAATTCATTTTTTATTTAACATTATAAAACTTTGGAAAAGTTAAGCCAGTTAGTCAAGATTTATTATTTATTAGGCGACACACAGTTATTTGTAGTAATGGTTTGTTTTCGTCATAGGGAAATTCACATCTTCATATATAACTTCATTATCATTGACGATATCAAACAGTGTCAGATCTACATGTTAGACAAACAATATCAATGTTAAACAGGGCTATATTGTTTTTCCTTCCCATACAACTATCTCCTGTCTTTTTGGACTGAACTACTCTGACACCTGGAGTGAACTCCTAAAACATAATTATGGCTGTTATATGTACAAATTGTAAAATTAGCTGTAAATTATTACGCTTTCCATTATCCAGGAATTTCTTTGATATTTGTGAATACAAAGCTCTCAACCAAACATTCCTCAAAATTCTTTATTTGTTTATTTATCATATTTGTATTGTCTAAAAACTATTATACTTGCTAATCAAATGTCTTCATTATGAGTTTATAGTATTGGAAACAAGAACTGTGGAATAAGATTCTTTGTCTATTTCTGTTGTATTATATTACCTGTTATTATGTTAATAATGAACTGTCTTAGATAGTTACGTACATTTTTGTTTGTGAAGGAAAATCAATAAAGAATGTCATAAATATAATTTCTTTTCTTTATAAATACTTACACTACCCAGTACCCACATAACTATAACTACCGTTTTTCCATGTTGAACAAAGTTTTACCGTAAATTATTGAAGATTAGACTGGAGTGACACCAATTTGAGAACAATTTGTATGAGACCGATCCTGTCCTAGTGCACTGGAAAATCATGTAATATCGGTCCTTCAGCTCCAAAATTATGAAAAATTCGTAACCCTTATAAAAGGCAAATTAGCTAATTCGAGGCTGTCTTGTCCTGAACCACCCTGTGGTGGGAATAACCTTGGCCTTGAAAGGGCCCTCTTGTGTTATGTCATACATAACTTGACGAATACCAACAACATTCGACGACAGTTTTTTAAAGGACCGATCCTATCGCAGTCCGACGGAAAATCTTGCAATATCTCGACAGCTAGAGGTCCTTGCTCAAAAATAGAGGAAAATTCGTAACCCCCGCGCATATACACCATGAAAGCCTAAAAGGCATATTACCTAATTCGAGAACAGAGTGAGAATGGCAATGACCTTGAAACTGCCTATTTATACTGTCATTGACAGACGTTAAAGATTTTATGAGTGCGTCTAATCAACTCCATTCTAGGCTTAAGGGTACTCTAAACCCATGGCTCGTCGCGGAGAACCTAACGGGGAACCGGGGCTCCGGCTCGACGTGCAGAAGGAATGGGGTGGTTTTTAGTCAGTAAGAGTCCGACACTCCCTTCCGCCTCACCCAGGCGGGAGCAGTCATTCGATGATTTTCCCCCCTTGAAAAAAAAAACCCATGGCTCAATCAACAAGTGCCTATGTCTCAAATATAGTGTCTCTTTCATTTTTTGCATTTTTCGTATACTTCTATATTTAACTCTGCTAATAACGGATTTGCGAAGAAAATGAAATAAAAAAACGTCATAAATATAATGCAAATTTATTTGTATAAACATAATAAATCGTTACATAATCAACAATACCAATATCTTCATTGTTTTATGGTTAATAGAGGAATACAAAATGTGACCAACTTACAGATAAATAGCATTTTATACGTATTATGTAAATTATATTATTGTTAACAAAATTAAACTTTGAAAATAAAAACGAGATTACAAAAACAATATCATATACAATGTAGTTCCACAAAATATGTCTATTAGAATAATTTTATAATGCAAAATATTTTCAAGTTGGCACTGTCTTAAAGCTCTTTATAGGCCAGTTAGGAAACAGAATTTACGGAATGATACTCCTGATTAAGAATAATTTCAATGAAAGCTGCCTATTTCGTTTTATTAAATTCTATTTTCGATAAGCTCATTATTTAATTATGACGATCAAGGTTCTTTGAATCTAAATTCAGAGACGAATGTGATTACCCAAAAAGGTAGAATTTAATACTCGTATTATAAAAGAAAAATTGTGCGATTACACTTAAATATTACATCTTAAGTCATTTTTTTTTTTAATACTTTGTCATTTCAGTCCAAAAACATTCCAATCAAAAACATGAGAAACGATTACGCTTTCTAGTTATTGATGCATAAGAAAAAAAGTTACAAATTTGAATAAAGGCTCGAATTAATTAATACAAGCATACCTACCGCTTTACTACTACTTGACACATACCGAAAGCTACGCAAATGTTTTGCAAATACGAAGCCAATTTAAACCTTAAATAGTTTTGAAAAATTCATCAAATTGAACCTTACGCCTAGCAACATAGTGTTCTTTATTCCGTAACATCAGCGTTAGTATCACAACCTAACTACACGGACAATGCCAAAAGGCGTTAAAAGCTTATAATTAAGAATATATTACTTATATATAAATATTTGTAAATGTTGCTTATAACAGAGATGTTTCTAAATAGTCAAATTCAATACAAACAAAAAATATGAAAACACATTTTTAGATGAATTTTCTACGAGATTTTGCATTATCACATACTTTTATATCAACGAACACACATAAATTCTCGTAAATAAGCTAGAAAACACACATTTTAGTATATCATCAAAACAATTACAAAAAGTGAGATTATTTTCGAGTATTTCAAAGTAATAAATTTTTTTGACTATTTTTGACTACAAGAAAACATCTCAATACAATATTAAATGTTTATAAAATGCACGTTATTAAAAAGATTGCAATCAGATCTTTTACTGAGGTAATGGCGGCGGTTGGACGGCAGCGTAAGTAGGATAGTAAGGGGCGAAGTTACTTTGACCTCTGATCAACATGTGATTTGATTCCCCCCTCTCCTGAATTGTACGCGCTTGGTATGGAGATTCCTTGTAAACTGGTGTAGCTGAAAAAGAAATGGTGTTGGTGAGTATAAAATTAAGAATTACTATGGTATTATTAAAATAACAGGGCGAGTGTTCAGAAGTGCGACTGCCGGGCAAGTGGTCTCGGGTTCGATTCCCGGGTCGAGCATAGTATTACTGGTTTCTTTTTAAGAATTCTCAGTAGTAGCACGGAGCCTGAAATTGTGCCCGGTATATGGCAATAGGCGCACCCCCTATTACATAGGACACATAACTTAATAGTGAAAAGTCGGTGTTACATTGTACAGTGGCATTTAAGTACCGTAATGTGCACCTCTGCCTACCCTTCCGAGGATAATAGGCGTGATGTTATGTTACATGAGCAATATTAATAAACTGCGCTAGAACGTTCAATATTATTGTTTAAGTAAAATTACTAGAGAACTTAGATTTTTTTCTAGTGTAGAGGCAATTTATTGTAGTACAACATGGACCTCTAAATCTATAGGGGTTCATTCAATAACAGACGCGTAGACATGATTAAAACATAATCCCGGGATCCCCAAACACGTGCATAGTAAGCGACAATCACACATAATATTTATGACTTAGAGTCGATTTTTCAATCATCAGTTAATTCTTAACTAGAATAAAATTCTGGCAAGACAGTTGACAGGTTTTAGTACGGAAGAATTGTCGAAAATTCACACTTATTCCTCTGATAAAACTTAACTGAGCATTAAAAAATCGGTTCTTAGTCTCATAAAATTCAGTTGCTAAGAAGTTACCAGTTAAGCAATCATATCATAGAAACGACATTAGATTGAGTTTACTTACTTAAAGTCGGGTACAATGTTTGATATGGCGGCTGCACGGGCTGTGCTCCCGGCATCACCCAGCCTCCAGGAGCTGCTTCACCGCCTGGAGCTGAAGGCATCTGGATAGGAAAAAAAAAATACATTTTAGTATAATGAAAAATAAGCTAATTTTTCACTGCTGCTGTATGTTTCGGGATCATAAGTAGATTACAAGCTTCATCAAAACTATGAAGTATCTACACGTTTGCTCTCTGACGTAGATAAAAATAGGAGACTATAATATTACCATTCATTTAAAAAAACACTTTCAAGAAATAGTTCACAGAAAACAAAACAAATCAGAAAAAATAAGCCTAAAATACATTTATCACTGCGAAATGTGTTCGAGTTCGAGATGTCAATCACATTGTAATTGTGACATCTTAGAGTGACTAATGAGTAGGAGTCAGATTGCGTAGCCTTGCGTAAGTAAAAATGTATCTCAGCTTTTATATTTATGCTTTTGCCACTGAATTCATCGTGAAAATCTTATTATGTTGGTTACGTAAGGAATTCCGGGAAATCCTCTTTTAGTGATTTTTATTCTCTAATATGTTTTTTAGCTTTCTACAACTAGTAATTTTTGACTTCAGTAAATCGATGTCTCTCCGTTGTATACACAGTGCATGAATCAGTTAATAGCCTCTATTATTGAAACGTCACTGGGCCGGATAAAACGCTTTAACTTTTGTGTCTATACTGTAAAACATTAATTGAACTCTTACTATAGGCGATCCAGGACTGACGGGCAACACAGCTGGCTGACTAGGCGAGCCCGGACTCGTCTCTCCAGTTTCTGCGTTACTTGGCAGTGGTGCAGAGGGCGCCACTTGGCCCACCATACCGACTAACGGTACAGTTCCGATGGCGATGTATTTCTTGCCACTCATGTTCAAATGCATACCCGATACTACACACTCCACCTGAAAAAAACAAAAATATGTTATTTGTATTACACAATACACTTGAATTAGTTTTTCCTTTTTTTATTTAACGTGGTATTGTGCACAAATAGATGGTCACAATGTCACGTAAACGTCACGCCTATTTTCTATTCTCTGTCTGAGTGGTTCTTAGTGCATTTGTATTTCGCTAGAAGCGAGTCTATGCCAGATGCCGTGTAAGTTGTTAAAATCACACTTGTCAGGCCAGCTGTGCACTTTAGTTAAGTGCAGGGTCCTCAGGTCTATAGATTATGGGTCTATCATACCATCATGTGACCTGTCTTTGTATTTTAAGAAAACGTTCCCCCACATTAGGATTTCCTCCTGTGTCGTGGGTGCGTTTACAAACATACAAGTTCACATACACAATGACACCCAGACCCGAAACAACAATTTGTGGATCACACAAAGTGTTGTTCCGTGCGGGAATCAAACCCGCGAGACGTAGCACGGTAGCCGGTTGCCCAGCCACCGCACCAACCGTGCAGTCATTGTTCCGTGCAGTTTGTATTGTTGATCTGTATGCCACAGGTAAAAAAAGTTCGAATACATAGTGATACTGAGTTTAAGTTTAATTGTTAACGTAGAAAATGAGATAGCATTTAAAACTAACTTTAAATTGCTGTTCTTTAGAAGTTTAGGTACTTAGTTAGTATCATGTACTTAAGCGATACACCGGAAATTACACATATATAGAAAGACATACACGCGTGATTCATAATATGCAGTCGTTGGCACCTTATGAGAACAAATGGGGCCAATGACTTTCATACTGTCTAGTGCAATATTTACCCACTATTTAGCTAGTTCTAATGGAGATTCGTTTCAAAAAAGTTCAGTTGCGAAGCTGTTTTAACCGATATGCTTGTTTGATTAGATTACTCAAGTACACGAGTGTAATGGAAACTTAAGATAGTAGAATTTTTGCCTATTCCCATGGTCAAAGGTGTTATTTGGTCCCTAAACTGATGTTATTTAGTCCCTGACATCAAAAAATGTATCGAAACGCACTACATTTTGAGCAGAAAATAACTTGATAATTGGTGAAAGTCTGTCAATCCATAAACATACACAGACTTATTAATGTTAATGCATATTCTATGTAGGTAACCCAGCTTGGCCTTTTATGTAAAGCACAACTATAAGGAAGCGTTTGAACTGATTTATAAATATACTTTTTATATGCAATTTTATTTTTATTGCTCTTTGATGTTAGTGCGACTGGCCAGAGTGGCCATGAGTTAGTGGGTTTGGAAAAAGTTTTATTGAGGTTTTCTATCATAAAATCCTCATGTCATAGATACTGGAAAATGTCCAGGGTCATACAACCACGTCGTTTAAGCGCCAGATGTACCCATTAATAAAAAAAATTATGGATGCAAAAGTAAGATCATAGTGCTAGCTACGGTGTTGAACAGTTTCTTTTTGGCCCCTTGAGACTAAGTCAACACACAATTCTGCGTTGAGACATGAATGCATATGTATTAGTAGGAATGGTAAACGATTATTGTTTATACGACTGCCTCATTGGCCGAGTGGTCGCAAGTGCGACTGCCGGGCAAGGGGTCTCGGGTTCGTTTCCCGGGTCGGGCAAGGTATACTGGGTTTTTCAAAAAATTCACAGTGGTAGCACGAAGTCTGGAATTGTGTCCGGTACATGGCAATAGGCTCACCCCCTATTACATGGGGCTCATAACAAAAATAGTGAAAAGTGGGTGTTACATTAAACAGTGGCATAATGTACACCTCTGCCTACACCACAAAGATAAAAGGCGTGATGATGATGTTATGTATGTATGGTAAACGATTATATTTTGAATGTATGTCTAAACGTGGATCCACGCGAGACACTATGTATTTTCTATTGTGTCTCATATATGGGCATTCAAGCGGTTAACCAGTGATAGCACTGATTCTACAATTTAACCAAACCACAGAAATATTACTTTATTATATCTGTGAACCAAACACTACAATGTGACAAAATGTTAAAAGCAAAACCCGGGTCAACTTCAAGGAACAGACAAAATAAAATATTTTTCATTCATCAAACCATTGATTAGCATATCTAATTTTATTCACACGTTCCAAAATTTCGTGTGAATTCTGTTTGAGTTCGAGTATGACATCATCGTGAGATCATACACAAAAAACTGGCTAGATAAGCCAGTCTGCTATTATATAATGGAGTTACCTTGGGTTAGGAGATACTATGGCAATGAAATTAATATGGTGGACGGACTATGTCATTAACTCGGTCACTCTACTCTGCTTTGATTATAGAGTAATTTTAAAATATGATTATTGTAATGAATTTGTAGTACAGTTTGTACTTTGTAGAGTCACTTAAGGGGCCAGTAGAATACCAGCGCGAGGCCCTGTCTTGCACATGCTGAACTGGTCCCATTTCACCGCAGACTTCGGACATTAGTAGATATTAGTAAACTTATGTGTCATCTGTTTTAGCTTGTGAAATAAAGGTTTTCTTTCTTTCTTTCTAGTACGGACTCTTTGTTGGTAGAGTGATCGTAAGTGCTAAGCAGAATTTTGAGTTTTATTTCGGTTTATGTATGGAATATGGAATGCAGCATGGCTATGGAGCCTGATGCATGGCAAAAAGATCACCCTCTATTACAACTCATAATATACAAAAGTAAGTGTTACATTTAATAGACAGGTATGTGCTGTATGTACTATCCTACCTATGTGTGACCCTTAGGCCAGGGTAAGAAAGGCGTGATAGTGTGAGACTTTGTTTTTTTTTTCAGTAAATTCAAACGACCGCGCATTGATGACTATATCACTATACCTACATCTACGACTGTATTAGACAACATTATACCACCGAATAGATACTGAAAATTCTACATAGCGTGCCGTATACACATTTAAAGCTGCAGTCGCAATGGCAACCGCTCGAACAAAAGGAAAGAAAAGATAATAAATATTCTAGATCATTCTACGATAATTTAGTAACCTGCATAACATAACTAGATACGTAAAATCCCATAAACATTTTATTGCATCAAATATAAAATATTTGCATTCTTTTATAGTTCACTACAATCACTTTTCGTTTTGTAATGAGCCTTATTTTAGTAATAATAAAGCTCATATTGGTATGAAATTGCACCACGTCTATTTTCATACACTGCGGGTGTTACTTTCGCCGCTGCGATAACAATGCTCATTTGAAAGTCGTACCAATATTCTAAATGCGACACTGTATGAGAATGTATGTAGGTACGTTTGGTACTCAAAAACTACTAAGCAAAAACTACTAAACTGAGATCAGTTTTCAGATCAGTGAGACTTTAATTCAGATGAATTAAAGTCATAGAGATAGATTAGGTATAGTCTGGGATAACATACTTAACAGGCAAATTTTCTTATTTTTTGTCGAGAAAAATAAACGAATAATATATATTTTATTGGGTTGAAACATTGGGTTAATCAAACACAAAAGGCACGTTTATTGTAGTGGCTCGGCAGACTGCCGCGCAACGTGTCGCGGGTTCGATTCCCGCACGCAACTCTGTGTGATCCACAAATAGTTGTCCCGACTCTGGGTGTCATGTGTATGTGAACCTATATGTTTTTAAACGCACCCACGACACAGGAGAAAATCCTAGTGTAGGGCAATAATTTTTTCTTTAATATTATAGCCTAGGGTTATTTACACGTGTCCTTCACATCGCACAGATAATAACCAAGACAAAGGTACTTATTGTACTTATTACTTAATATTAGAATGGGTGCTTGATCATATGGAGTAATTCAATACATCTTACCTTAAAATCGTAATCTAAATCAATGATGTTACAGTTGACTAGATCGGACGGAGGTATCGGCGGTACTTCCATAGTTAAGTCCCAACTCTTCGTCGTTCCCGCAGGCGCTGGCCCTTCTTGTATAGTTAGCACTACATCTTTGATCTTCTTCGTTTGATTTGTAGGTGATGTAGCTCTGTATGTTACCACCTAAAAATATTAGAAAAAGTAAAACATCTTAATTTTATGTTAACAACTTCTGTGTGACTACTCCAAATTGTATAATGGTTTTCGCCCTTTCGCGTCACTAGAGGGGGAATCATAGTTTACGGTCTATTAACAATTAGAATAATCGCTGTCGGTCAGTCTTTAATTAGTCAACTTGGAATGGCTAACAGACCTTAGCTAGGTACTTCTCATTAATGCCCCGAGAGCGCAGAATCGCTCGAAATCCTCATTCGATAAAATTGGGAGATTCAAAAACTATACTGGATATGAGTGATGATAAGGATTAAGAAGCGGTTTCAAAATCTTTGAACAACGTTTCAATATTATCTTGATATTTTTTATGGGTTAAGCAGGTTAACGAGCAGACGGACCATCTGATTAAATTCGGTATACATTAAAATAATTTTAAACAATGGTTACACGCAATTGTATTCTTGTCTTATTTTTTAACTATACTTACCGAAGTTGTTTAATGAATTTTGTGTATACTGTTTATTATACCTTAAAACAATTAATAGCCAAGTAATATACTACTTAATACTTATTTTTATCTATCTATTTATCTTATTAATATTGTTATGTCTACTCACCTTTCTCAAGAAGACCTTAACGAGATGTAGTTGGACATTACTCTTGTTGTCTACTTCCACTCTTATAGGTATCTTCTGACCAGGTACATATCCTGAGACAGGAGCTTGAACGTCAACTGACAAAGGAGGCGACGCACAACAGAAGCAACAGAATGTCTTCTCTAGTTGAATGTGAATTGGTTCCTACAATAGAAAAGGAAAATTATTTATAATGAATAAAATTTGGTTTAAATGTTAAACTGTTATAAGGAAAGGATTTCCAAAAAAGTATGTATAATCGGCAATAGGCTCTACAGCATATCTGTGGAGTCTGAACAGACTACAGTAACAGTTATTCTAAATTAAATAATAGACCAAATAGACAAGACGTCAACAGTAAGCTCACAACATTGGACAACATATTGCAATTACAAGATTTATATTGAAGTTAGTTGAAGTTAAATCATCATCATCATCAGCCCGTGTTCGTCCACTGCTGGACATAGGCCTCTCCAATGGCACGCCACTGAGTTTGGTTTTCCGAGGCTTTAGTAGGTACGAATTTGATTTACGTTTAAAGTATTCGAAACGAGTACGCGTTTGGCAATCTGATTGGTCGGTGCCAATGAACCAACCAATCAGAGCGCCGAACTCGTACTCGTTACGATTACTTTAAGCGTATTCGTATTATAAAACTCGTACTAAGGCCTCACCTCTTCCCTTCTAACAACTACCAGAAAGATATTAATGTAACTGTTTGTAAGCTGAAGTGGCAGTGGGCCGGTCACATTTGTCGAAGAACCGAAAACCGATGGGGTAAACGTGTTTTTAAGTAGAGACCGCATTTAGGCAAACGTAGTGTAGGGCGCCCTCCAGCTAGGTGGAGTGACCACATCCGCAAGGTGACGTTTTTTTTTTTTTTAAAGAAACGTTTCCCCACACTAGGATTTTCTCCTGTGTCGTGGGTGCGTTTACAAACATACAAGTTCACATACACAATGACACCCAGACCCGAAACAACAATTTGTGGATCACACAAAGTGTTGTCCCGTGCGGGAATCGAACCCGCGACACGTTGCACGGCAGCCGGTTGCCCAGCCACCGCACCAACCGTGCAGTCAAAGTGACTTAGTAGATATAATAACAGAAAAAGAAAGAGTTATGTTCTTCTAAGTCTTTACTCACCTTATAAGAAGGGTTGAGATTCAAATCAAATGCATTAATCACAGTAAAAGCCATTTTTGTCTCTTGATCGAACTTCCAGGGCCGGTCCAGGGTCACCTTGATGGTATATCTGACATATCCATATTGGCCCTCGAAGGATGAAGGTAAAACAGGAGGTAAGGCACAAGTGAAGTTGTACACCTGCTTACCAGCTGGGATTTCTATTTCATTTCCTGTAAAATTAATCTATGTAAACAAAGACCTAAACTAATACAACATTCTTTCAACAGATTTTCGACTCTATTACAATGACGTAGACATTCAACATATTGCAATAGATCGTCTTGCTAGTTTGTACATAACAAAACTTAGATTCCTGTAAAGTACAAATGGTTTGTAATGGTAACAAACTTAGTCTCTGAATTACTTCATACTGAGGCTAATGACATAATTAAAGGAATAATTGTGTTATTCCTTGAAAATGGGAAAACAAAGACTTAACAATTTTGTATGAGTAAGTATATAATAGAGGAAGCAAAATACAACTGGGGTTGACTCATAGTATGTATCTATGTATGAGTTTGAGTTCCAATTTTAACGTGAACATTGCCTTCAACTTCATTTAATTTCCTTGAATACTCCATTAAACAATTATCACTGGCTCACGAAGATTGACCCCATAATAAACTGGTCAAACGATAAGACAAACTGTATTTTCTGTGGTACAGTGTCTACTCAAAGTATACTATACTGACTAATAATTAAAAATATATTGTGTATCCCAAAAATTATGTATACTTTCATCTATCACCTTCTATTCTTCTATCACTACACAAAGTGTCTGCCATTATATAAAATGAATAGTTAAACACTGCCTCGTTGGCCGAATGGTTGCAATTACGACTGAAAGAAAGAAAGAAAGAAAGAAAGAAAGAAAGATCATTTATTTGTAAAACATGCGTATACATAAAGTATACGCATATCTGCCTCATTGGCTGAGTGGTCGCAGATGCGAATGCCGGGCAAGGGGTCACGGGTTCGATACCTGGGTCGGGCAAAGTAATACTGGGCTTTTTCAAAAAATCTCAGTAGTAACAGGGAGTCTGGACTTGTGCCCGGTATATGGCAATAGGCTCACCCCCTATTACATGGGACTTATAAGATAAATAGTGAAAAGTGGGTGTGACATTGTACAGTGGCATTAAATGCCGTAATTTACTTACACCTCTGCCTACCCCTTTGGGGATAAAAGGCGTGATGTTATGTTATGTTATGTAATAGTTCAAGAATTTATTTGTTTCATATGTACATATATGATATAAGGTAATATGTACCTTATGTACATAATTTACCTTATTTCAATAGGTAAATAATTACTTCAAAGTTAATTCATTTAATAGTTGCAATGTTGCAAAACATTGTATTTTACACTGTGATAATTTCACTACACAAACAAGTCAACATCTGATAGTTATCAGCAGCTATAGCCAGGTTATCTAAATAACTGTTAAGTGTAAACTGTTTATAGAATGTTTTATATTTCAAGTTAAAATGTATTTTTTTCATAATTATTACCTGTCATTGACTCATAACATCACGCCTTTTATCCCCATAGGGATAGGCAAAGGTGCACATTATGCACTTTGTGCCACTGTACACTGTAGTATACAGTGTAGTGTACACTGTAGTGGCACAAAGTGCATACAGACAAATAATAAAGTGGAATAAAGTGCATTATGTAACACCCACTTTTCTCCATTTATTTTATGAGTTCCATGTAATAGGGGTGAGCCAATTGCTATATACCGGGTACAATTCTAGAATCCATACTAGTACTGAGAATTATTACTTATACTAATAATAATAATTTGCCCGACCCGGAAATCGAATCCGAGACCCCTTGCCTGGCATTCGCATCTGCGACCACTCAGCCAATGAGGCAGTCTCATTGACTCATTCAAGTGAATAATAGTTACTAATAAATGTGACTGTGTTTGTTTTTCTTTGATACTGCAATGAAGCCATTTTATGGAAGGTTTAAAAGAGGTTTGAGTTGCTAGTTTTAGTAAATGTGTCAAATACTTGGAACTGAATGACTGTCTTATCTGATGATCAAATCTAATTACTAATTAAGTAAATATTTACTAGCTTAGAGTGTCATTAGTCTGATGTTAATTTATTTTAATAAGTACTGAGAAAATGTAAGCAAATAAGGAAGTACTAATTCCTCTGGCTAGATTATCTTGAAAATTATTTAACAAGATAATATGTAAATGTTATATTGAATACTTTTTTAAATAATCACCTGAATTGCTTCCCAGCAAATAGTATGAGACTTGGAAGTACTCCTCATGTCCAGTGTGCATGGTATCAGTCGATTCTGTCTTCCCATCGGAAGTTTCTTGATTTCTACTTTCACACCATTCCGTGTGAGCTTCTCCTTTAAACTTGACATGGATACCTAAATATAATTGTAACAAGATCTTAAGTGTTCACTGAAGTAACTTATAGTCAACATAGCGTATTTCTCATACTCCTACTAACGCATGAGTCATAGACTGTAATAAAAAATAATCACAGCAACATACCTCGCACTTTTTTAGGACTATCAAACACATATTCTATTCTTCCATTGATGGTTTGGCCAGCGTAATACGTGTTCCATTGATTATCTAAATAAATATTAGCTTCTTTTATACCCATTATAAGGCAATATCACAATGCACTTCCACAATTAATAGATTTAAATAAGTGAATTAATTGAATGCCGAGACTAAATCACAAAATTACGACATCAACCACATTAACTTTGTATTGTACAGAAGACAACGTCAACGTCAATCCGAATCCGAATCCCAACCGCAGACTGAAAATGAAAAATGACAATTGTTATAATTATGTCATTGAATGTCATCATTTTACTGAAGGACAGTACCAAAGAGTTTAATAAGTTTATGGGGACTTAGTACAACGTCAGAAGCTGGCACATTTTTAAAGTTGTAAGTTGCAAATACAATACAGCGTCTAAGGAAATATTGTAGAAAGTGAAATATAAACTCTTTTTGATAAATTATCAGACAAAACGACTTTTTCGTCTCATCTTTGGCAAGTCCGTCAAGTTGTCATTGTCAGACAGACGGATACTATTATGAGACAGACGTCAGTCCAGTTGATATTGAGTGTTTGATTGGATGGTATGCAATTATGCATTTATGCAAGCCCCCGACTGATTAACGCATTTTAAAAATAAACAATGTTATTAAATTGTTGAATGATATATTTATTTTTTGTACTTGCTTCGGCAGTACATATACTAATATATTTATTTAGTTTAAATCAAAATTCAACGTAAGGTTTGCACCTACTGAAAATAGCTTCTCCATCTACTTGCTAACAAAATAATACTTACCGTATAATAATCTGCTCATTACTCCCATTAATGTCCACCTATAAGAAATAATGACTGATATTTCTATAATCATACCAGTACATAATGGCGAAGAGTGGATAGATAGTTGTATGAATTCTATAGCAAAACAAACGATATTGAAAACAGCTGATGTAAAGATTGAAATTGCTGTTTATAATGATGGCAGTTCAGATAATACTCCAGAACTGTTACAAAAATGGAAGGAATGGTTTAAGAGGCAAGGAGTTGGTTTCGTTACATTGAGTAGCAAAACTTCAAAAGGTGTAGGTGCTGCAAAAAATGGTGCCATAAAAATAAGCACTGGCAAATATTTATGTTTTCAAGATATAGATGATATAATGCTATCTGAGAGAATAGAGCTACAGTGGAATGCTGCAACATCAAGACCAAATGCAATTATTGGCAGTAAAATATTCAGAGTACCTAAAGACTCAACTCCACGTTATGTTCAGTGGGCTAATAATCTTAACAGCCAGCAGCTCAGGAATCAAATATACACATCCAATGGACCTACTTTGCTAATGCCTACATGGTTCTGCCATAGAAGTGTATATGACAAGGTTGGTGGGTTTGTGGAAACTGGCCGTGGAACACCAGAAGATCTGATATTTTTCTATGCTCATTTGGACACTGGAGGAGACCTGTATAGAGTAGAAAAGGAACTGGTAGTGTATGCCTACCATGAAAACGCAGCTACATTTTCTGTCAAAAGAGAAAATATTTGGCAAGTCCAACTAGAAAGATTACAAAAACATATCTTTCCTAATTGGAATCATTTTACAGTTTGGAATGCAGGAAAAGCTGGCAGAAGATTAGTTCGAGCCTTGAATTCAGAAAACTTAAACAAAGTTGTGGCATTTTGTGATGTTGACAAGAACAAAATAGGGCAATATGTGGAACTATACTGCCCTATTGAAAGAAAAGTATTGGCTAAATTGCCAGTAATTCATTTTGCAGATGCAAAGCCTCCTTTACTTATATGCTTTAAATTAGACATGACAAATGGTGAATTTGAAAAGAATCTCCAATCATTAAATCTCATTGAAGGAATTGATTATGTTTTATTCAGTTAATATTTTAGAATAATGCATTGACAAGTGTTATAACTACACATTTATTATAAAATTGTATTACTGTTGATTAAATTATTTCATTGTTTTGCATATTAAAGTATTACAACTACATGTAAACACACTTATAGAGTTATGTTAGTGCTAAGATCATTACAAGTTTGATTTTATAAAATATTATTATATAATACTAATGTGAATATAAAATAAAGTAATAACTTAGTGAAATGTGAGATCATAATACTAATATTTTGAGCCGCAATACAATAATACTTAGGAGTAAATGGAATTTACATGCTTGTGAAATGAGCCTTATACAATAAACTTTGTTAAAAATCTAATTTCTATCCCTCAATTTCTTATATCCATCAATAGTATCCAACGACTTTCTCATTCTGTGCTGCTAGCACTGATTTAACACTCACCTCAGACTAATCTTTTCTAGATCATGTCAAAGGACTATCTAAAATGTGCTTTGAAGAACTAAACAACCAAATTCTAATAGTTTAGTGATTGCTGTTTTGTTTCTACACAAAGTTATCCTTAGTCCAGCACTCTGAGGTGATTTTATTTACATAAAAAGATCTTGTGAATGCTGGCATAATTTCAAAACAACATGAAGTTGTGCATGTTTCAACATGCAGCAGCCTCAGCATCTAGAAGTTCATTTTGTATTCTATCAATAAAGCTATCATCGAAAACAGGAGAAGCTTCACGCCGGCGTTTCAGGGTCAGTGCTCGAGGTCTGTCTTCTATCATCTCTCTACCCTGTTGGAAGAGCCCATACCATTTATATATCATGGTTTTGCCAGGGCATTGAGCACCGTAGACGGCTTTCATTTCACTTAAAATAGTCTGTGGTCCTTTCCCTTGTTTTGTGAGAAATTTAATAACGGCACGAAACTCAATTTGTTGCATGTCCATCATATTTACGACGGCCGACATTTTTGCTGATGTTTTATTGCAAACGATGCTTCTAGAAAGTTCTAATGCGTTGCCGGTACTGAAAAAGATACAAAACCATTATAAAATCGATAACATTGCAACTGCATAAATCTATCGTAAGGTAGGTAGGTAGGTATCTATCATAATATCATCTATCAGATATCGTGTAGATATATAGGATTTTGTATACCACTAATAATTATAATTCGCAATAAATAACAATTAGACAATCGGTAAAATTAATGTATTTCGTATGCTAATATTGGGAAAATATTTATAAAATATAATAGCACCAAAAAAGCTGCCAACAGCTTACCTTTACCTGTCTTCTGTTTATGTTTGTTCACTTAGTTTTATTAGCACCAGTATAGCTGCTACAAACAGCTCTGTTAATTAATTCATGCCATCATTTTGTTTCTTTCATTTCATTTAGAAAAATATTTTCACAATCACAAGCCAGCCGGGCCGTAACCGGGCGGGTCGGGTCGGGCGTACCATAGACTAAAGTCGGCAATAGTACTACATTACAACAACACAGCCCTCCTCTGGCCTCCATAAACTCACCCTCTGACACACATACTCTCTGCAATTCTTTAACAAATATTGTCTATGATAGACATGATAGTCTACACTGGACCATCACTGGACTTAAGACTAGAGGTGAGGTTAAGAAAGATGTAACATAAGTTCTCACCGGTTTTTACGTGTGGATGTACTACTTTTTAAAAGGAATAATTATTTATTTTCCTGCTTTGCTTTGGAACCCTCTCAACCGGTTAAGTATTAAGTAAAAAAAGAATATGCGATTAAAAAAAGACTGCTTCGTTGGCTGAGTGGTCGTAAGTGCAACTGCCGGGCAAGAGGTCTCCGGTTCGATTCCCGGGTCGGGCAAAGTATTACTGGGTTTTAAAAAAAATCTCAGTAGTAGCACGGAGTCTGGAATTGTGCCCGGTATATGGCAATAGGCATAACATAAATAGTGGAAAGTGGGAGTATTTGCCATTGTACAGTGGCATAATGTGCACCCCTTTGAGGATAAAAGGCGTGATGTTATGTCATGAGAATGCGATTTCTAGAAATACATAATAATTATACTTTTGTATGCTATTAATTAATTAATTTTTATTTTTTACGTTTACATCTTTTTAAATTGGTAACATTGAACAGAGATGTCAAATTATGATTTAATCATTCGTTCAAAGACATTCAACCAATCCATTCAATTTACTAAAATTGACATTGTCATTTTGTCGGGATTTCGGAATGTTCTCCCGGGAAAATATTTTATAATTTTATTAAATAAATAAACTGCAACCATAGCAGTTAAACCTATCAAAATCAAGATTAACCAATAAATTATTTTTTACCAAACAATATTTTCATTGAACGATTTAAACCATGGAGGAAAATAAGAAAACCAACCAGACTTTAAGTGTTGAAGAACTTAAAGTTAAGGGCAATGAATGTGTAAAGGATGGAAAGTATATTGAGGCTGTTCTGCATTATACACAGGCTATAAAAATGGATCCTAATAACTATCTCTTATACAGCAACAGATCATTTGCTTTTCTGAAGTTAGATCAACATTATCTCTCACTACAAGATGCTAATGAAACCGTTAGATTACAGCCACAGTGGGCGAAGGTAAGTTATTATTACTTTAACCGAGATGTACTTAGATAATAGATTGAATAAACGCCACATTATCCACAATGTTGATAAAACCCACAGCAGTAATCTCTTACCTTGTTTTCAGGGCTACTTTCGTCGTGCTGAGGTCGAAGCAGCGAGCGAACTTTACGACGAAGCAATAATATCATACACAAGAGCATTACAATTAGATCCTCAAAATGTTAAGCTAATGGAATCCATCAAAAACATTTCTGATATGCAAAAAAAGAAAATTAAAGGTATGTTTTTTATAACATGTAAACCTGTTATTCTATACAGAATAAGTAACTTCATTGTTATACATGTTTCGTTAAGTATTCACTATGCTTCATTAAATGTGTTTTACGATAATTTAAACATGCTTTCTTTCAGATAGTCAAAACATAATATGGATATGTACTTGTGTGGGATTAATCTTTGGAATTGGTATTGTTGTTTTGGATTACAGTTTAACTGCAAATCCAACATTATCGGTAAGCACCCTTACTAGTATTAATTTCTATAATAAAATGAATAATTTAATTTATTCTGTTGTCTAATTTCTTTTGTCTTTTTCTTTTAGCATCCCTTTAGCATGGTAGCATTTGCGCTTGCCCTTGCAGGTATGGGCTGGGCAATAGGAAAGAGTGTCAACTTAATGAGTTCTATGAGTGCTGGCAAATCCTTACAACCTCCGGAGGACTTAGGTACTTTAATCTATTATTTCTATCTTATATATCTTTAGTTCGCTTCTGTTAATTGGATACACTTCCTGTCATAAAATTTGACAAATTAAAAATATCTCTATGAAGAGTCACTACAGACATTAATTTATCATAGTGACTAAGCACAAATAGAAATGTATTCATGCCTATCTTGGCATCAAAAGATAAGTAATCTGACTGCAAACATCTTCATCATTAAGTGAGAAATAATCACTGTAAATGTAATTTTCTAAGCATTTTCTTCATGACACAACATGGCTTAATTCACATAACATAACATCACACCTTTTATACCCGAAGGGGTAGGCAGAGGTGTACATTATGCTACTGTACAATGTAACACCCACTTTTCACTATTTATGTTATGAGTCCCATGTAATAGGGGATGAGCCTATTGCCATATATCGGGCACAATTCCAGACTCCGTGCTACTACTGAGAATTTGCCCGACCCGGGAATCGAACCCGAGACCCCATGGCCGACAGTTGCACTTGCTTTATAACTACTAATATAATTTTATGCATTGTTCTTTGCAGGTGTAAATGACAATTCAAATGAAAAAGATACAACAGTACCTGAGAAAAAATCAAAGTACAGTAAGGCACAAGCCAGACAAAGATATAAGCAAGGAAAACTATAGTTATAAGAATCTTCTTGATCCAATTTTTATAAGATTTATTAGATTGTAAGCATGTATCAGGCTTGGTGAGGGTGTTGTGTTGTTAAAGGTACCGCTAGTCCATTGAAATAATCATAGATAGTCCTTATTGCAAAGACTTCTTGAAAAGACATTTTATAAATACAATTATTCATCAATATTGTTGGAATTAATTAAGGTTTATAATAAAATATTTACCATTTCCTGAAAATTTAATCTGTTTAGTATTTTTATATAGTTATGTTAGTTTTGTACTTAGAACATATTCGATTTTATGTTAAATACTGAAATATTTCAACAATCTGTTTACAATCAGTATCCCTATATTCTGGATGTTTTAAAGAAAATATATATATAAAAAAAACGAAAATACATATTTGTTTTAATGCAACATACATTTTTATTTAGGTCAATTAAAACATAAAATAAAGGGGAAATACTTTATTGATCCTAGTGTAAAATGTATTTCGAAAATTCCAGAATACAATATATCCTTTGAATAAAATTCTTGGTCTCATACCTTATACTTAAAATAAGTTCAACATGTATGGGGGTTAAAAAAAAATCTGTACAACAATAGGGTACCTACATTTACAATAAATGACTACAGTGGCAAATTTACTATACACATCTGTCCTATAACATTATCCCTGCAGAACGCGGCTATTGGAAGAATCTTATTATGGAGGTTTGATCTTATTGTGAGCTTGTTCAATCGTCGCAATATTGTAGTTAATACCACGGCCATTAAGATATTACAACATGTAAATTAAAAATATCTAATAAAACCATGGATATACATAACAGTCATAAACTCATTTACACAGTACCAAGGCAAAATTATGCGAGAGTGAACTAGGTACCATTCTTGGAATTGCACCTGTGTAATAACGTAAGGTAACAAACAATTTATTATTACACATACTACTAATATTTATTGTATTGTAGAGTTGCACTTTGGTGTTTAAAATTACCATTCTTGCTACAAAAGATATGTCAATCGCTATCCGAGATTGCCTTCTTTCTTCGTTTAGCCTGTTTAGGTTTAACTATCTCTTCCTCCTGAAAATTAAAAAAAAAATACTTAGAAACACAATTTTAAACAATAAAATCATAAACAGAGTCAAAGTAGGTAACTGAAATTGGTTAGGATGAACATCATTATTTATCATGAACCAATGTAACTTTAATTTAGTACCAAATGATATTATATTACAAAATGGGGGTCACAACAAATGACTTAAACACTGAGAAAGGTTACTGTTTAAACTGTCAAACACCAAGGGGTCACCGGTGACCGCAACCTATTGTTCTTTAATTGTGTCTATAAATACGGTACTCGACGAGTTAATGTGTTAAAGGGTCATCATCATCATCATCAACAGCCTATAAATGCCCACTGCTGAGCAAAGCCTCTTCTCACACGGAGAAGGTTTAAGCATTAATCACCACGCTTGCTTAATGCGGGTTGGCGATTTCAAACTTATAATTAGAAATTATAAGTCCAGGTTTCCTCGCGATGTTATTCCTTCACCGTTTGTCAGTGGTGTCTAAATAATCTTAGAAAGTACATGTAACTCGGAAAAAGTCACATTGGTACTTGCCGTTGGTAGGTTTCGAACCCGCACCCTCATGCAAGAGAAGTGGGCGTCACCTCCGGGCCACCACGACATACAAAAGTAAAGGCTACTGTTAGTTATCAACTTTTATTGCATAGTAATAAGAAGTTTATTCACCTCACTATCTTCATTAGATGATTGCAGATTCTGGTTAATTGGTAATGAATTTGAAACTATTTTCCTGGCTCGTCTTGAGATAGGCAACTCGTCCTCCCACGCCAAAGCGAGTAAATCACTATATTGTCTCTGTAATTAAAATATTGATAAATTAGTTATACATATCAAATTATACCCCTCTTCTCCTTTCTATGCTCCATATGCGTTGTGGATGTCCATGAACGATACCAAATGCTCACCATCAGGTAACCAGTCTGTTAGTTTGCTATCGTATGCCATAAAAAATAACTACAGGTTGTTCAAGGGACATGGAGGTTTAATTTCGAGTCGGAAAAGTACTATTGAAATTTTAAATTCTCTAAAATGCACAAGCATAGTGTACAAACACTACATGGGACTAATAAACATATGAATAGTGGTATGTACCTAGTTACATTTATTTGTTTTATACCCTTCTGCCTCCCAATTAAAGAAAGCTTAATGTTATGGGTATAGTTGAATTTACAGAAAGTATATGACTTAACTACATAATTGTGTGTGACCAACTATTAAAAAGACCGGATGTTGGGATGTTACACCACGTGTGGTGGGTCCGATTCTAAAATAAGTATTCTCACAGATAACACTGGACACTGGGCATATTATCGAATGATTAAATAATCATAATAATACAGATAGCATACTTAGTACATATTTTTACATTTGCTGATAACCAGTACCTAACCTAGATGTTTGAATTAAGTTTATCAGAATGAATTGTGTTGTTCAAATGTTTATTAATCCTGCAGTCAGATTTGTCCTGTTTTAGTGAAATATGTAACTTATTTTCCTTATGCCATTATAAATAATAATATAGGTAACTCATCCATGTACTTTCGAAGTCATTTAAACATATTATTAATTTATTATGGTAATTATTTAATACTGTTTAATAGAAGGCCATTTGCATCATTGAGCCCTAACGACCGAACGGGTTTTTGTTTAATTAATAGAGAAGCAATCGAGGCGAACGGTACATCCAGAAAACTAGAAACTAAAGACCCGCTTTTTGAAGACGATATTTAGTAGGTAGTACTTGAGAACGCCAGTTTAACGACTTAACGTGGCTTTATATGTTTACTAAATTTTAATTCTTTAAAGAAACTGAATTTTAACGATTCTCGCGACTTGGTCAAGTCAATTGAATGAATGCAGATTATGGCAGGATAGGTACGAATAATGACAAAAAGCCAACAAACACCACACCATCTAACGAATTTGAAAGAAGAAAGAAAGAAAAGAAAAGGTGCTTTTTTGCAGATATTATAGTGTGGTTAAGAATTTAGAATCTCCTTTTCCATAAAAAGGTCTACTGATTTACCTACCTTTTCAATGGAACGGACTGATGGCGTACCTTTTCCATGAAAAGGACTAATGGCGTACCTTTTCGGTAGACAGGCATATACAGGCGTAGGCACCTAAATAAAGTCTACTTATTCTATACTTCGGGCCTATGCCCGAAAGCATTCTCATGACTGAGCCATGGAAACGATAAATTATAATAAAAGAACTTACCCTTAAACTATCACTACTATTCGACAGGGCTTGATGAAGTGCTTTCTGCATGCACTCCATATTAAAAATTGACATGTCATTTTGTTCCACACAGCATACTCTCAATTGCTCTAAATGGCCAAGCACCTGTAAAATGAAGTACACATAAATTATTATTCAAATGCGTTTCCATAGATTGCCACTGACTTTGACTTATGCAAATGAGGCCAAAAATTATTATTGAACTTTTAACGCAACCAACTTCGAATTTATGTCTTCTCTTATCAATATACATACAGATATCAATATATTAACAACATAAAATAACATCACGCCTTTTATCCCCGCAGGAATAGACAGAGGTGCACATTACGGCACTTAATGCCACTGTACAATGTAACACCCACTCTCATCTCAATCCAAAAAGAACAACAACAGCTCATGCCCTATGACATGGGTCATAGGGGATGAGCCTATTGCCGTATACCGGGCGCAATTCCTGACTTTGTGTTACTACTGAGATTTTTTTTAGAAACCCAGTAGTACATTGCACGATTCGGGAATCAAACCCGAGACCCCTTGCCGTCTAGTTAGTGGCAGTTGTGACCACTCTGCCAACGAGGCAGGCATAATCAATATTATATTATGGCACTTCTGGTTGACGCTAAAGGTTTTAAGAACTATACAAGGTGTTTTTAGTTAGTTCTTGGGTATGTAGCCAAGCTTTAGGAAGTTATACAATTTTTATGAATCTTTGAATTTTTAAAGATTTTCAAGTAAGTCTTTAGGTAGGTAGCTATATGACAACGTGTAGTTTAATAAATTACGTCGTAGATTAAGTACTATTTTAATGACATATTAATTATGATTGGGTAATATTAATTATGTTAAGCATTTAAGAATGAATAATGATACCTAATTAAGTTCTTATGAATGAGAAAAAAAACAACAATATTTACCAATTCAGCTGAAGGTGGAGCATTTGGTGGAATGCTATGTTTTCCCGGACGTTTTCTCTTGTTGGGACTAGTACCTGGGTATCTTGTGCTTAAAATAGCTGAAAGTAAATCGCCAACTTTATCTTCGTAATCTTGGCACCAATACAGCAAAGTAGATACCACAAATGTATCTTCTTCGTCTACAGGTCGGCAGAATAGTTGTCGCACTACGTCTGCAGTAGGCTTTTCTTGTTTTAACATCAAAAGAACTGATGTCAAAGCTTCAGCGTGATCTTTACATTGCAATTTCGGTATGATAGGCAACACATCCTCAACTGATATATCATGTGCTGTTAGAAGCTGCCAAAGACAGTATTGTTCGAAAGTCTCCCAGCCTAGACTCGTCGACAGCATTAGCGTTATGTCATCCGACTTGAACATCATCAACGTGCCTTGAAGAGTCAGACCAACGAGTCTCTGTAGTTGACCCGCATCCAGTGTGGAAACGATGGCATGTAACATTCGTATATGGTTCTGGGATTGCTCTTTGAATTCTCTGTACACGTCGGGGATCAACCACACCAATACATTGGCATCACATTCTTGACATCTCTCAAAGTCGTCGGCCAAACTATCAGCAAGCTTCATCTCTAAATAGCTACAGTACTCTTTATACACATCTGCTTTGAATTTAACGTTTCTTCTTTTATCTAAATCGCGTTCAGCGCGCCTTTCTCGTTCATAACAAACTTTTAAATAGAACAATAAACTGAATCCCACAGTGCGAAGAGTGTTTTGAGCTTGAATTTCTTTAAATGTTTCTAGTATTAATTTGCGTTTGGGTTCATCATTGCTTGTTAGAAAAGTAAACATGGAAAAGAGTGGTGTACTCAGAGCCATTTCGATTTCTGCTTGTGTTGGGGTACGGCTAACTTTTAAGGGTGGCACTTCTTGACAAGCTGCTACAAATAGATCAGCGAGTGCAGTGGCTGTAGGCATTGGAGAGCCACAAGCGTTAATGAGAGCAGTGGCAGCCGCGGCTGTGCGATCGTCTAATAATGCTTCTGCAAGAGGACGTAACATGAGAGGCATTGCGGCAGATAATTCGGGTCGTTCTCGTGCACGGACTTCGGAAAGTGGTAAATCGTCATCGTCCGTGTCTTCCGCAATGTTAGGAGTGGTCTCTTCTTCATCGTCAGAAAATGCAGGTTCATCAGGACCTCCTCTTGGTAAGTCATCATTTCCCTCATCGCGGATTCCTGACACGCCCTCACCATTTCCATTGGTGCAGAACTCTTTAAAAGTTTCCCTTACAGTTGTTCTTAGTTCGCGGTCCAACTTTGGAGAGTCAAAGAGAGGATGTAAATTTGGAAGTACTCTCTTTTCTATGATCTGTTGCAAGGAATTAAAAATGCCTTGCCTAACTTTGTCTGCAAATGGTGGGTAAAAGTTTGGAATGATTCGACATAGAAAATCAAGTAATGTTGCGGTAACAGCCGGATGTGATCTCATTGAGTGATGCATGACCAGAATTGCTGGTTCAATGTTCATTATATTATCCTTTTCAGGGTCATAAAACAACCAATCATAGAAGAGTGCTAGTTTTGCATTTGATGCTGCTACATTGGAAGTACAAGTAGTAAGTAGCCATCCAATGACTGCCCACCGTGGAATGATATCAGAACACAAGAGTTCATTAGTAGGGTGTATTACACCAACAATAAAACGAATCATGTCACTCCTAAGAGACTGCGACTCAGGTGTAGCCAAGTATTGCCTTTGAAACCATTCTTGATACTTTTTATGGTGACCAAACCTGACTTGCGATGTCAAAAAGACAAGTTTCCTCTCCATATCGGGGGTGAGTCTTGATTGTAAGTATCTGCGTGAGGTTCTTGTTTGCAATAATTGTAGCACATTTGTAAATGTGGGGCATAAAGACTTGGGATTTATTAATATGTCTTGCCATAGCTGATTGAACTCAGGAATCCGTGCAACATTCTGCAGCAACCTTACTAGATCTCTTCCCAAAGTTAACACATCTGAGAAGCGCTCTCTTATGAGAGTGATAACAAAGTTAACTTCTTTCTGTCTTAAACTCATAAGTTGTGGTATATTGTGATCTTCTATCAACCTCAAGTATGTATACACCACCATGCAAATAAGTACTGGAAACTTGTCCAACCATGCTCGGTGTTCAATATAAATATCTAAGAGAGATTCTACCAATATTATGTTCTTGGGAGTAATATCTCCACCAGATGCATAACGCATTAAATTCCAACAAACACTATCAACTCCTGTTACTGCATTCCTTATCATTTCCTTAATCAACCACAGCAACTGGTTGCGAGTAGTATCATGAAACTTCAAATACCTCTCTAATATTAAGGTGGAAAGGTTGTTGAGCACGCAGGTCAGACCGTCCCGCGTCACTAGGGTAAGATCTCTGTAGCATTTGGTGGCATTGTGGGGTTCTGTGAGAATGGACATCAGCATTCCCACAGACACATCTTCATGGTTCTTACATACGGCATTGTTGAGCGCATCGTGAGCTTCCTTCTCGCTGCAGTCAGCCACAAGTGATTGGAAGTAGTTGTAAGCTCTCTCGTACCGCTGAAACCGATAAAATCTAATAAGATAACTGAAAGCTCACAAGAAAATTGAATTTCGCGCCACGCACACTGCAGCGCCACCACTACTAGTGTTAGAAAATACGATTGTACATGGCCGACTATATAGATATTCTTTGTTGAGAAACTGCGAAATTTTACACAGTACCTCTTCAACTTCGTCCTTGTTTTCTATGGCGGTGCACACAAATAGTCTAGGTGAAATAGATTTACTCTGCTCCATAATTTGTAGATTATTAAAACTACTTATTATAATAAAAATTTAGCACAGGTTGCCTCCTGCATGGCTATCGTAAGCGAAAAATATTTATGAAGCAATACAATCACAAACATGAATGTGTGCGTGTATATGTCACCGACCGTGAGGGACAAACAAAAGTTAGAAAACGCCGACAGGTAGCGCTTTAGTTGGTAGATTTTTGATATGACGCTAAAAAAATGACAACGTTTTGGTACAAATTCTAAGGTTATGGCAGTTTTCAAAAGAGTGATCAAAAAGCTGGCAACATTCATGGTAATGATAACACAATCTTTCTTCTGATTGGGTAAAAAACCTACCATTGACGTTATCATTTATGTTCATTGGCTAGAAAATCATTAATATTTGAGTATTGCTAGTATATTTTTAGTTTGGTCTACTTTAAAAGTGATAAATATGATATGCTAGGCTCCTGGTACATTCATAATGTGCAATGTGCAATGCAATGCCACAAAAATATGAGACATGATTTTAAATAATTTTAAATACTGTTTCTTTCTTTGGGTAAAATAAATTACTACTACATGTAATAATTGTCAAGACACAAGTGCTTACATTTATTTTTAATACCTAACCTTATTAAATGCATTAAACATATTTATAATATTTGTCCCTACTAAGTCCCTACCATTTTATATTTCTTTTTACATTTACATCTAGGGTTTCAAGACATTTCGATTTTATTACCATTTTAAGTCTGAAGTTTTTAAATCTAAGGACTGAATGTGTCTTTTGAACACTTTTCTTTGTACACATTTATGAAAGTTTTAAACTTTTTTTCACATATTAAAAAGGTATTTGTTGGCATGATCTGGACAATATGAACCAAATCTGGATTAATTAATGGTCATTTTAGATAACAAGAATACAGTCCCTTTGTCTTTGGTATTAGGATAAATATTTTTATTTAATGGTAACCCAATTTAGTGTTGCTTGCTTTTCCGCCACCATTTTGTAAGCAAGTAAAGTGCATGTATTTTTGCGTCATCAACAATATAAAATATTGTTGTTTTACATTTATTTGATCAATAAGATCACAATCACGTTTGTGATTTTTGATATATCATTCTAAAGTGCTGGTAAGTGAAATAGTGGGATTTATTGGATTAACATCAAAAGATCGATTTTGAAGCCGTCCTACCGGCATTTAAGGGGTAGAATAATTTTTTAATGTATTACATAATTAAGGAGTTCCTTGTTAAACAGGTGTAAATTGCGATGGATAATCAGCGAGAAAAAGAACGTGATCGATCCAGACGAGGGGACCGACCATCCAGATTTTCTGATGCAACCAGAGATCGCTCAAGCGACCGGGAGCGCCCTGAAGGGAAAAGATTGTTAGTGTCCAATATTCCTTATGAATTTCGCTGGACGGAATTAAAGGATTTGTTTAAGGAGAAGGTAAAGCAGTAAAACGCAAGAGTGACATTAGTTACGCTTATGTGTACATTTTTTTATTGACTGCAAATTGTCATTTGTAGGTTGGAGATGTGGCTTACGTAGAACTATTCAATGACGAAAATGGGAAACCTAGAGGTTGTGGTGTAGTTGAGTTCACAAACCCTGAGGCCATGAAGAAAGCTTTATTTGTCATGCACCGTTATGAGTTGAACGGTCGTAAATTAGTGTTGAAGGAGGAAACAGGTACTTGATCATAACTTGTAGTGGTGAATTAGTTTTATTTATTGTAATCACAAGTTTATGAATATTAGTTTCAGGTAATGACAGGAATAGGATGAATTCCTCTCGATCTGGAGGCGGTGGTGGTGGTGGAGGCGGCGGAGGCCGTAATGCTAGGAATGATGATAAGGAGTAAGTACTTTGATGATATGGTTTTCTTATTAATCAATGAATGTTATTATTTAATGAAACCTATTATTACAAGGGCATTAATAACAGAAATAAAGGAATGTTAGACAGGTAGCTCTAGAGATCAGATCTATCATCTCCATATTTGTGTAGAATATCTTATTACAGATAAGAATTATAAATATTTATCAAGATAATAAATAGAAATGTATCTTTTTGACAGATTGTCTCAAATAACACCAGATAATATGTTTCATAGTATATTTATTTCTCTTTGTTATCTTTATATATAAAAATTTGATACTGTGATTTTAATGTTTACTGGTACTTTCATTCAATGTTTTTGTTTGGTTCTATTTTTGCAGTTCTTTCAACTGGGGTATCAGTAAGCCACGGGAACCAGAAAATTACAATACCTATGGTCTAAGTCTCCAGTTTCTTGAGTCCATAAATGTACAACCACCTTTGGTTAAGAAAGTATTTGTTGCCAATGTAAGTATGAATATTATTTTTATTATTTCCATATATTTATTTTAAATTCTCTCTATAAAATACATTTTTAAATACTACTTACAAAAACATAAAAATAATATTTTAAAATATAAAAAATAGGAGCCGACCATATTTTTATTGTTATTAGTATAAACATATTACATCTGTCCTGATATTATGTTCTCATTCAACCTTAAGATTTACTTGAACTTTAGTTGTGCCTTTATATAAGATTTGTTTCAATTAAAACCTTAAACTAATACAAACTTGGTTTCTTTCAGCTTGACTACAAAGCAGATAGGACTAAAATAAAGGAAGTTTTCAAAATGGCTGGCAAAGTCCGCAACATTGATCTGGCAGTAGACAAAGATGGTAACAGCAGGGGATTTGCTGTTATTGAGTATGATCATCCAGTTGAGGCAGTTCAGGTTGGTATTAAATAATGACAGTTTCTAATAATAGTAATCTTGTATCAAATGCATGTAGATTAGATATTGCTGTAATAAATAACAAAATATTTTCCTTATTTACAGGCAATTTCTATGTTTGACAAACAAATGTTGTATGATCGAAGAATGACAGTGCGCATGGACAGGGGTGTAACAGATAAGGGTGAAGTGAGGTTACCAGAAGGCTTGAAAAGCATTGGTCTTGGTCTGGGACCTAATGGGGAGCCTTTAAGAGATGTAGCAAGGAATCTTCCAACTCAGACACCAACTACTACAAATCTAAGTCTAGCAAATACTGGGACTGCATTAGGTGCAGGAGTTTTGGGTGCAGTACCTACCGCTGGTGTGACTTTGAATGGACTTGGAGCAGGATTATCAGCTAACACTTTAAATACCAACTCAGCATTGGGTGGTAACTTAGGACTACAGGTAAGAAAAACAATTATCATTAAAAAGTAATTTTTATCTTATTTCTAATTCTTGAAGGTTTCATTATTAATTGTACTTATGTTTTTAGGCATTTAGTTTGACTGGCTTGGGAGCTTTACAAAATCAGTTGCTGCAACAAGGTTTGACTGCTAATGATTTAGCTACAGTGCTTACAGCACAGGCCAATGTGAACTCAAACAACTTGGGACTTGGTAATTCAGACTTAGGTTCAAGCCTGAACTTGAACAACTCTAGCTTGGCCAACAGTGTTATGGGCAACAACACTCTTAGCTCTGGACCTCTCTCAGGTTAGTAATTCAAAAAGGTTTTATTTCATAAAAAAAAGATAATAAATAAAATATTAAGTGCCTGTTTCACAAGGTCTGATTAAGTTTCTATTACTTTAACTGACACATATTTTGACACATTTCTTATGAAAATTTAACGTTAGTTATATCAACAGAAACTTGAATCAGATAAATACTGTAGTCTGTTTATTGTTACACATGTTACTTCTAGGCAATAACAGACAAATGGGTGGTGTGACAGTTTCAGCCCAATATGGACGGGATCCCGGGGTCCAGCAATCAAGCAGGGACAAATCATCTGACATGGTCATCATCACTAATGTAAGTATTTGTGTACAAGACTGCTTTTGTCCTTATGTGTGCAGGGGTTATTGAACTATGATTGTATGTTATATTGTGTAAAATTGCAACTAAATAACTTTTAAATTTAAATTATTATAGACAATAGATATTGCTTATTGATTAACTAGCTGATCCGGCAAACTTCGTACTGCCTATTTTGTTCTCCTCTTAAACCTTCCCTCGACTTTCACTAACACTTTCAAGACCGAAATTAACCAAATCGGATCAGCCGTTTTCGAGTTTTAGCGAGACTAACGAACGGAAATTAATTTTCATTTATATAGATTGTTAATTCGTTGTCAGACTATGAAGCATCAAGCAATGAAGCATCAAGCAGTTAAGAAGGACAGGGACTTTGTTTCAGAATAATAATAATATTAAACTGTCAAACACCAAGCTGTCACCGGTGACCGCGACCTATTGTTCTTTAATTGTTGTCTATAAAACCGGTACTCGACGAGTTAAATATCACTTATACAAAAATTTGACGGATTAGTTGGCGAAATTTATAGACTCCTAATCCGGCCATATGCTCGAGATTCCGTAACATGCACATCTAAGAAATCTAAATAACTTGTTTTTCTTTTGCCCCAGTTGCCGCCAACAGTGACGTGGCAATTGATTCGTGAGAAGTTCAGCGAGTGCGGCGATGTGAAGTTCGCTGAAATGACTGCGCCCGATACAGCTGTGGTCCGCTTCCATAAGGAGTGGGATGCGGAAAGAGCTATAAGTATCCTTTTGCAAAAATACTCAACAACAAGTATAAAATGTCTTACCTTGCAGCTTAGAAAATGTCTCTGGTTGTTGATTTTTACAGCTTCACGTATACTGAAGTTAAATGTAAAACGAATCATGGACTGTTCGTGTAATTTCCCATGTACTTTATCTATATTAAGGGTATGATAAGTTTCCTTAATTTAAAAAATCAGAAATGTTCGACCGCACCCGCATCGATGGAAGGACGATCGATGTTCGCTTTTTTTAGCAGGCGGCCGCTGAAGAGTAAGTTTTATTTTCTTTCTAATTGAGTCTTTTTATTCCAGAAAGTTCGATATTTTTGCTTTTAGGAAATACTCGTGCATTATCATTCGAAAACCAACGAAACCGTTTCGATTCGTCTTCGGGAAATATAAGTTAATGAGTAGATTTTTCTAAAACTGTCCAGATTGCTCGCGGTGACATTATCGTGTTTTTCTACTTCTTTTACCTTTTTGGGCGATAGGAGCTTTTAGCGTTTATCCTTAGCCTTTTACAACTTTATTTTCCATATTGACTGCTGACAGATTAATAAATACTCCTTAGTTTAGTGTGAGCAATGATCTACTGTCTAGCGCCGACAATAGCAATAAGCATGTTTTCCTGGTAATGTTGTTCGTCCGGCTTGCACCTTATTGTCTTACCTCTGAGACGGATATTTGGACATCTGCTTCTCCCGTCTTTACTTGTCTTGAAATTCTAAAAATCTACCTCCTTATAGGATACCGCCGAAAAATCTACTCATCGTAATAAATCGGAGCATAAAAGTTGCACATGAAAGCAGACGCATGCGTCGAATAGACATTTAAATGTTGTACTTTTTGTGATTTCAGGAAAGTTTTGAAGTCAGTCTGATTCTGGGTTTGTATACACTCTGCCGCCGGGATAATGGAATGCTTTGTCATCTTCGTCTTGAATAGTGTTTGGTGATGTGTTTTCAAAACTTTTCTCGATTGACGTTGAATATCTATACACGTGTATTTTAGGTTAAGTTAATGTAAGCATCAAGTATGTTTCATGTAGCCTCTATGTAAAGCTTAATAAATTTCATTGAGGAAATAATATTGTTGTTATGCTCCATAATTTTGACAGATCCATGATTAATTCAATGTTTAGCAGTGTCGATAAAGTGTCAGTTCCTTGAACAGTTACAGTAAACGGCTCATACTATTTTGAGGTGTTAGGCAAATAGTGTTATCGTGCAACTGGTGATCTCGCTAGTCGCTAAGTGTATATCTAAACAAACGCAAACGTTGTTGTAGCGACTGTTCGATTCTAGAATATCGCTGTAATTTGGCAAATATCAAGTCTCAACTTGCAATTGGGTTCTAATTAGAACGAGCTAAGGATTGAGCAGAGCATCGACACTACAGCGCATCGACGTGATGTTAACACGAAAAATCCTAGAATTGGTATAAAATGGTGTTTGTGTTTTTTTTGAATTGCTTCTGAATTTCAATTCTATCGCCAGTTGAAACTTGTTCAGTTAGCACTAAGCAATTTTATTTGGTGAAGACATTTGCTAAAGTACGAATTTCTTCATCTGAATGTCCATTGATCAATGAAGTCTGGTAATACATTTACCTATGTGCGAGTTACTGTGTGCTATAAACTGGAATTCGGTCGACATTTTTTTCGTACTACACTCGATTGTTCGCTGTATACAACGTCAAATATAAATTCATCGTGTGGCTCAGTGGGCTATGAATTCTAATGTTTCTAAAAATAATATAATGTACTCACAATTTTACCTCTCAACCTGTGATTATTAAATTGGTATCGAGGATATGTTGGTACTCCTGTGTTTACTTCATAAATAAAGATTTCACATTGAGCTGTCTCACTCACCACGAAAAGTTTTCGAAGATTGCAAAAGTTGGGTCTGTGATGCGTCGAAATTACTATGAAATACGTCTTCAAACTTCTTCGACTCGAATGGTAAGTTTGCCGTCATCGAACTTGGATTTTTGTTATTTGTTTCGGGTGTGCATGGGGTTTTATAGAACTGTCATATTTAGAAAATGTTCATTCTTGAGTAACTCTGCAAACAGCTGATATTGTTTAGATAGCAGCAGGTTTCCAAAATTTATAAACTACACAACCTTTCTACATGTCATGGTACATCCAGCGTCTGAAGGAGCGACTAGAATACTAATGGTTATCGGTCGCTATCATCGGTTCTGCAAGAAGATTGGTTTGGTCGGTCCGTGAGAGCAGCCTGTAGCCTTTGTATTCTCTACACCAGCGGACGCAAAGTAATCGCTTCACAAGATTCGTGATGATAAAAATTTGGATGTAGGTACTGTGTCATGTCTTTTCCAAGGTTTTGTGGTTCATGACTTGATTAAGTTCCAACTTTCCGTCGATCGTTTACTCTGAATAAACGTGGAACAATTCTAGACCTTTATTTTAATAGATATCTTTTTCAGATCACTATGGATAAGTTAAATTGACTATGACAGTTTTGTCAATATATCCGAAATGGAGAGCATGATGATGCAAACTGTGACTGCTCGATTGAACTGACAAGGATGCAGGTAAATATACCAATAAATAAATCAAATTTTGGTCAGTTTTTGACCTTACAACGATTGTAACTTTTCGTATTTTTGACAGCATGCTGCTCTAGTAAAGCGATAGCCGTCAGGAAATAATTCGAAAAATAGCATTTTCTCCTCGATCCTCGGATGCTCTAGTGCTCGTAATTTGCACTTCAAAAGACAAGAACCCTTCGCTCTCGAATGTTAACGCTGGCGTAGAACCATTAAAAGATTAAGAACTGACACAGTTGCGGCTAAGCCACGAGGAGAGTTAGCCTGGGATCTTGGTCCAAAACGTCCTACTTAGCCTGGAAGCCTTTTGACAAGAAAAAACCCTTTTGTACACAGAGAGAGCTAAGCTGCTAACTCCACGCATTTAAATCCAGAAACATGACCTACAATAACATTAATTGGACTCACAACATGCGCACATCCACATTCCGAGAATTATGCTTTATGGAGCTGAGTGAAGTGAAGATATGACATGGGTCATTGTAATAAGGTAAGCTTACAAAGTCAAGTTTATATTTGGAACGTCTGAACCTAATAGATTTTGTTGAATGTTTTGTAACCTGTAGTAGTTTTAAGTTCTAACCTAACCTACAAAAATAACTATCGCACTTGAGGTCACTAAGCTGACCTCTGGATCGGAAAAATTCTCAGTTGTTTTATGCAGTTTGCTAAACGCGTTGCCTACCAACAAACGACAGTTGATCAATCACATTTAGAAATATGAAGGATCTTTCTTTCTATATAGCATATGGAGGGGGTTGATGTTGTATGCAAACTTTTTACTGATATAATTTATTTTGTTACAGGTAATCTTTGGGGACTTGTGATAGCTTTTTGCTAAGAATAGTATATTGTAAAATACTTATAACTTATAAATAAAAATATTTTGTAAAAAGAACCTGGTAAAAAGGAATTGATTACAATTTTTTTTCTAAATCTGCTTTTTCTTATTGGAGAACCTGGTTATTTTTGACTTCTTATATCGCCGCCATATTCCTTTTCCAATTTGCATTATCTCGTAAATAGGGATCCTTACTGCAGTAAGTATAAGTTCCATTATTGAGATTACTGAGGTTCCAATACATAGATTGACGACACCACCACTACGCACTGAAAGTAAAACTGCGTCACTTATCTGCTAGAATATCGACGTGATAGTAAAAAGTAGTTTCACTTACAAAAGAGGTCATAGAAGCTGAATATAATTTCCCTCCTGACACGCACTTTTGGGAAAGCAGACACGCTAAGGCGCATTCGATTGAGACCCACAGTAGGTACAAATTGCTCATGGTCGTTCTTAAACACGTCTTCTTCACAGTTACCTAAGCAACCACAGTCGCGAAAAGATCTCGGCAAATCGTCAGTGTTGTCGAATTTTTCCATAGTTTCATTGTCGATGGACAGTTTCATGATTTCCTTCTTGTATTCGAGAACACATTCCAGTTCAGCTAAATTACAAATGGTTTCATGTTCTGAAACGTTCAAGTACAATTAAATAGATTGATAGGCAGAAGCAGGAACGGGCTGATTTTAATCTGTCAGAGTCTGACACTACCTCGCGCCTAACCCACCCAGAGCGGGAGAAGTCATAGGATGATTCCCCCCCCCACCTAAAATAAAAAAAATTGTGGCTGCCATCTGTTTACCTAAGCCTATCTGTAGTAGGTAATGTACCTATTAGCTACAACGAACTTGATATCACTATCTAAAAGCATTCCCTTTTACAATTGGGATATTTTTTTTATCCACAATTTGTCCCAAAGTTGTTTCAGATTTTACAGAAAAATAGTAACTATTTTTTATCCAAATTCAAGCAAATAAATTAACAAAGGCGTGTACGAAATTTATATGTAGAATGTCATGGATGAATGGAAGGAGATATTATCGGAATGCCTGAAGTACTGCGAGAGGAACTTATGAATGCTACCATTTTTTAAATAAGTTTTACTCTTCTGGTTCGTTGTGTATGTTTTGTTCTAGTTTTATTATTTCATCGTTTATTTTATTACTGTGTCCAGTTTCTTTAATTGGTTTTTGTTATCAACCGTTGTAACTGTAATAAATAAATAAATAAAACTTACCCATCGGTTTGTAAAAGTGTGGTATGCAGTTGCATAGTTTGAATATCATTTTAATTCTACAGTCCATCAAACATCGGTTGTACGAGTAAATTGGGTATCGCTTAGTAGTCGTTTCGTGCATAAATCTGCAATGCCCAATTGTTTTGCTCGTCAACAATACAATTTTATAAACGTAGTAGAGGGAAATCAAATGCTATACATAAAAGAAAAAAAAAATACAAACAAAACATTTTTTTGTACATTAGTATCACGACCTTTAGTCTTCGTAGAAGCGGGTAGATATGTAACTATTCTATGTAACATTTGTCAGTTATCTTAAGAGTCCCATTCCCATGTAACACGAGGTAAGTACCCACGCATAATCCCAGATGCCGTTCTGACGAATGTAAAAAATCGGGTATCATCATCTACTGAACACCACCTATGAGTCTGTTAGTGATGCCTTTCAGGGCGCTAGTGGCCACTCATCGGTACTCGAAGAGGTAATCACAAAAAATATACGATAACCATTGTTATCTTAAAGTAAGTGGAAACATAATAAATGAATTAAAGAACAAACTAACAGTAGGCACTTACGTAAGTGTTACAATCGCATT